TGTGAGTGTGGTCAGCTCTCTATAAAATCCCATATCAACACAGTTTACAGCTGTGAGAGTGGTCAGCTCTCTATAAAAGTCCCATATTAATACAGTTAACAGCTGTGAGAGTGGTCAGCTCTCTATAAAGGTCAGGATCATCTATATATACAGTTAACAGATGTGAGTGTGGTCAGCTCTCTATAAAAGTCCCATATCAATACAGTTAACAGCTGTGAGAGTGGTCAGCTCTCTATAAAGATCACCTATCTATACAGTTAACAGATGTGAGAGTGGTCAGCTCTTTATAAAGGTCACCTTTCTATACAGTTAATGGCTGTGAGAGTGGTCAGCTCTCTATAAAGATCTCCTATCTATACAGTTAACAGATGTGAGAGTGGTCAGCTGTTTATAAAGGTCACCTTTCTATACAGTTAATGGCTGTGAGAGTGGTCCGCTCTCTATAAAGATCACCTATCTATACAGTTAACAGCTGTGAGAGTGGTCGGCTCTCTATAAAGATCACCCATCTATACAGTTAACAGATGTGAGAGTGGTCAGCTCTTTATAAAGGTCACCTGTCTATACAGTTAATGGCTGTGATAGTGGTCAGCTCTCTATAAAGGTCACCTGTCTATACAGTTAATGGCTGTGATAGTGGTCAGCTCTCTATAAAGGTCACCTGTCTATATGGTTAACAGCTGTGAGAGTGGTCAGCTCTCTATAAAGATCACCTATCTATACAGTTACCAGCTGTGAGTGTGGTCAGCTCTCTATAAATGTCACCTGTCTATATGGTTAACAGCTGTGAGAGTGGTCAGCTCTCTATAAAGGTCACCTATCTATACAGTTATCAGCTGTGAGAGTGGTCAGCTCTATATAAAGATCACCTATCTATACAGTTAACAGCTGTAAGAGTGGTCAGCTCTCTATAAACGTCAGGATCATCTATATATACAGTTAACAGCTGTGAGTGTGGTCAGCTCTCTATAAAGGTCAGGATCATCTATATATACAGTTAACAGCTGAGAGTGATCAGCTCTCTATAAAGGTCACCTGTCTATACAGTTTACAGCTATGAGAGTGGTCAGCTCTCTATAAAGGTCAGGATCATCTATATATGCAGTTAACAGCTGAGAGTGATCAGCTCTCTATAAAGGACACCTGTCTATACAGTTTACAGCTGTGAGAGGGGTCAGCTCTCTATAAAGGTCAGGATCATCTATATATACAGTTAACAGCTGTGAGTGTGGTCAGCTCTCTATAAAGGTCACCTGTCTATACAGTTGACCAGTTTATAGTTATATATGAGAGCATACAGTTGTTGTCTTTGGCAACCTCTCTGTAATCAATGACACCCACCAATAGTTATACATTGAATTTCAATACTTGCTTATGAGATGGAAGATAACTGTTTCATTCTGTTTCATTTGTTTAGCATGAAGTCATGATAGCACTATAAATGATTGGTTTGTTACAGTAACAACAGTACCATACACAATCTACTAACAGTTTTTAAACCCAGTGTGTTTATTTACTGTGAAAGACAGTACACATGTCTTTTTCTGTGATTTATTACCCAATAATTTAGAATACCAGGATAATTCTAATGAAAATAGAACATATAATTACTAAAAATACATTTATTTCTTCATACATTTGTATATAAATGATTATGCGGTCACACAGGACTAGACAATGTACAGTGTAATGTCCTAGTTTAACCCACATAAATCCTATCTTTAGAGTTAAATTTCTGTCGTTATCAATGCTCCAAGAGGTAACGTTAACTCTTCCAATTGGAGGAAATGAAGAAATAATAATAATCTGACTTTCCAGTTGTTGTTCAGACCCAAATGCTGAAGATACAGTTATCCATTTCAAGTAGACAAAATAGCACTGTTAACAAAGTATTTTATAAGTATGTGTACTAGTACTTAAAAATAGTAAACAGCTGCTTATCTTTCACACATTGGATATACAAGAATTGTTTAAACTTTTACAGAGTGATATATTTCTGTTTTAAATGGAATTCTGATGATATCTTTCTCTCTTGTCTGATCATGGCTGTTTAAAACTTGGTACATTCTCCGTTGTATATCTTCTTTTTCATCTTCTGGTAACGAGGCTATGACACTTATAGTACTAAAATGTCCGACAACAAAATCCTTGTCTCCCTAAAACAAAAACCAAGTTAGTTTTAACGGATTACAATTACATGTCATACAATCACTGAATAGTTGTGAGGGCAGTACTGATGTTATTATTCTGTTCAGTTCATCTTGAAAAATAGTCTGTGCCTAGGGGACAAAACATTGCTAATTCCCGAAATATTGATTTAACTATTGTTTTACACAATGAATCATTAATATACCTCATAGTTCCATTATAACCATACCTTTGTTGTTGTCTGCCCATTACACTAATATTCATCACTCAAGCATGTGCCTTTATGAGGTAACTAGCCTACCCAAACAATGGTATTCCAGTATTCCTCCAATCAAAACTCCCATAATCTTAAGTATACCAACAATGTGCCCCTACATATGGTTGTGTTGTTCGACTGTTATCGGGCTGTAATGGTTCATTCTGATGAATTATTAAGAATGTCCAACTTATTTAGGTATGAGTGTCCTTATTATCATGGTAAATAATGCCAGCATGATTAACTTTGGTTTAGGTTTTTTTCTTGTACAGTTAATTTAATATTCCTAGACTCATTTTGGCAACAGTTGTATTATATATTAGATTCAAACAAAAACACTTATGTCTGTGAACATGTTTTTGAATCAATATTAAGTAATTTGCAAGTCATGTAATATACCAATACAATTATTGGGTTAAAGGCACTGTTCAACCCTTCAAAACATTAGTATGATAATGGATGTTTTCTCTTATAGAAGCATATAACACAAAAATATGGTTCATGTGATTACCTGAAAGTCTATTCCTGCCTGAAAAAAGTGTTCTTTACAGGATAATCCCGAGAATTTCTCTATCACAGTTTTCCATGTTCTGTTGATAGCCCTTGGTGTATCACCATAGTAACCAGACAAAATGTCCTCGATGTCCTTGACCCATGGTTCATCCCAGTCCTTGTTGTTCCACACCATCACTGTTAACATGCTAAACTTGGTAGAGAAACATCTCAAAGACAGACTATAGAGCATCATATGTCCATGTAATAGATTGCCTTTAAAATTAAACAGGCTTTATGCAGTTAAAATCAGATATACCGTAAATACTGATATTTTTATGTAAGTTCTACAAAAAAGCTGTAGTTCTATGTCATTTTATTGTATCACTGTGAAATGTTTTGTATAAAAGGTTGGTTTCAAAGGGAATCAAATGATGTAAAGGGACATAACTGGTAATGTGGCTACCTCAATAAGCTGGTATTGTAGAAACAACATTTACAAGGGTCACTACCTCAATACACTGGTATTGTAGAAACAACATCTACAAGGTCACTACCTCAATATGCTGGTATTGTAGAAACAACATCCACAAGGTCACTACCTCAATATGCTGGTATTGTAGAAACAACATCTACAAGGGTCACTACCTCAATACGCTGGTATTGTAGAAACAACATCTACAAGGTCACTACCTCAATACGCTGGTATTGTAGATACAACATACACAAGGTCACTACCTCAATACGCTGGTATTGTAGAAACAACATTTACAAGGGTCACTACCTCAATACACTGGTATTGTAGAAACAACATCTACAAGGTCACTACCTAAATACACTGGTATTGTAGATACAACATACACAAGGTCACTACCTAAATACACTGGTATTGTAGAAACAACATACACAAGGGTCACTACCTCAATACACTGGTATTGTAGAAACAACATCTACAAGGGTCACTACCTCAATACGCTGGTATTGTAGAAACAACATCTACAAGG